TCAATGCTTTAAGAGTAAATTTAAGAGTAAATTTAAGAGTTAATTTAATTTTATACACAGTCAATTTATTTTAAACGACTTAAAATACAATCGCCAATCAAGCTTAAATGTAAAGTTTATTTGTCATCTTACAAGATGATGCTAATGAAATTATCGTTTGAATTCGCAAACAATTTGACCTATGCAATTACTTTAAAGCGCATTAAATAACACGTAACATAATTGAAATATTTTGATAGCTTGCTATAAGGGCAAAATTATATTCCTTTCAAAAGAAAGACAAACATTATACTTTAATACAGTGTTTCGATAAGATTTAAACGACTAATCAATATAAAAAGAGGACAACAGAATCCCTTGAGAAAGCCGAACACGCCAAAATTGAAAATGTTGCTGGCTCGGTTTGATTGAGCCTGTTCATGAAATGGTACTGGAAAGCGCAATATACCATCCACGCCCTCTAACACCGGCTTAAGCAGAAATCAACATTTAAACGCGAAAATTGTGAACATATATTTAAGTTACTGGCTACGACCTTTTCTCTACATTATTTTTATATCGTAAAGGTAATATGTATGTTCGAGATGCAATCTGAAAAAAAAAACACACACATTCACACTGGCATTATCAAAACTAATGACAATATGTATCCCGTATTGTATCGGTTGAACATTTGTTGATCTCATTTAAGAAAGTGATACCAAACATCATCTAAATATTACATAACACAATGTCGAAAATGACCCTATAATATATTTGATTTGAATGAATAAATGTCATTTATTTTTAAAATGACTGTTCTTAACAATAAATCTTTATATTTTTACCAAATGTTTATGAACTAATGAATTACAAAATATTTTACTAAGAATGCTAAGCAAAGGTGGGTCATCAGAACCGCCTACATGCAAACATTATAATGTACAAGATCATCAATCGTCAATAAATGGAGGTGGAGGGGAGGTGGTGGCACAGCTTAATTCTAAGTAAATTTTAATTTAGCTTCAATGCTTTATCTGCATCAACTTCTCGCAGAAAGATGGCGAATGTTTATCAACAATTTATCATGCCGCTGTGATACGGTTAGAACAAAGAAATCATGCACTGATCACGCGCTGGTGTCGTAAGAATTACACAGCGTGAGAGTTACTAGCTAAATAGGGTTGCCGACCACTAAATACCCTCCTTCCACCTATGGTTGAATACACCTTAAAGATTAACAAGTCCAACTACTCAATCCAAACAACTTTATCTTCGATGAAAGTAACATTTGAATGGAATCCGTTGGACTAAAATACCAATGACTGCTGCACAGAGTGAGTTCATTTGCTTAAGGATACAACAAATAAGTAACTACTACTTGAATGAATAAATGTCATTTATTTTTAAAATGACTGTTCTTAACAATAAATCTTTATATTTTTACCAAATGTTTATGAACTAATGAATTACAAAATATTTTACTAAGAATGCTAAGCAAAGGTGGGTCATCAGAACCGCCAAATAATGCAACAAAGTTGCATGACCCACCCCACTCTGTGCAGCTGACTACTACCTAACGATTAAGGAAGATTATATACACAATATAAAAAATGTCACAAAAAGCACATAAGATTTTAACTGGATCAAATTCAAAAGAAAAAACAAAAAGACTAAATCTAAATACTAGCAAAATTATGAAAATCAAAGCTTAAAATGATCACACATATAATAACCACAAAATATCTAAATGCTAGTATATGTCGAACACAATAATGCAATAATCTATAAATATATGTAAACAACTTGTAGCAGCCTTGTACTGGACTACAATTGCATTTACATTTACTAGTTATACAGTTCTTCGAGTCTATTTACATCATCAAATATAAACAAGTTTTTAGCAGCCTTTTACTGAACTACAAGCACATTAACATTTGTAAATATAACCAGATTTGTAGCAGCCTTTTACTGAACTACAAGCACATTAACATTTACAGCTATAAACTAGCTTTTAACTGGGCTACAATCACATTAACATTGTTCATCTAATTAAATCTGCAGCAGCCTTTTACTGAACTACAGACAAACTCATGAATTAAACAAAAACAATTTTACTGAAACCTAAACAACAATCATGATAACTTAACCATCTCAAAACAAATTGAAAAATTGTCATATGTGTAGCAGTCTTATGCTGAACTACACAACAGTGTAACTGTTCCTGTGATAGATATATGTAAACCTAGACATATACAGATAACGTCAAGCACTCTTTACCAACGATTTGTTACAGTATTATCTTAACTTAAAATAATAAACCATGCTCTAACAGTGATTATACAGTTAACACTGGGATAACAAATACAAGTATTAAGACTGCAAAATACTTTCCTTAACACTTTTATAAAAAAACTCAAAACACTTATTATACTAATATCAAAATCAGACAAGACATGGTATTTCAACGACAATTTTGGTAGCCTTATGTACTTTTTCACAGCATGTGATTTCCAACGGCCCATTTTCATTATTGCATCATCTGAAAATCCTTTCATAGATGCGTAAGTCGCAGCACCGATTCTGAAGGAATGAGATTTATACAGTTGCGGGTTAAAACCCAAAAAATTTATTGTATTCGCCAAATGCGAATTAAAAAATGAATATGTAGCTATTGTGCCATTTGGCAACTGAAATAATGGGCCATCAAAATGACTTGAAATTTCAAAAATTTCTGCATGGACTGAAGTGGGCACATTAAGGCATTATTCTTATTTCGAGGTATGAATAACGAAACTGGTTCAACACTATGTTTAAATTTTCTAATTGTCAATTCTAACCCAATAACTTCGCCCTCTTCATATATCATTTTCACATCACTACGATGAATAATCTGAGACTCTGCAGTTTTAGAATTCATACAAAATTCTCCAATACGTTAAAAACCCATGAAATGCCAAATTACACATAGCAGCGAACATAATTCGTTCATTTAATAGCAAAATGGTATGTGGAAGAGCCATGATTATTTTGCTCAGTATTGAAAATGTGATTGGTAATCTAGTGTCAGCAGTATATGTAGACAAGTTGTGTGCCCCTTTCAAAAACTGTTTTAACAAAAAACTTCCTGACAAATCTGGGAGTCCCATAGCTTTATGAATGTAACTTAGTGCTGACACTACAGAATGTATTGTGCTTACTCTAAAGCCAGAATCGTATAAATGAGCAAGGAAATTTATGAATACAGGACTTTGAACTGGCAAAGTAACAATAACATCATTCTTAATGCAAAATTGTACAAATTTTTTCCAATAACTAAAATAGCTTTGCTTTGTCCTATTCGCCAATGCATGAGACATGACATGGAGGGCTGAGCTGTTCAGATCACTAGAAGACTCTGTGGCAATTTGACTGGGGTTTGTGACAGCGTTGGTAAGCACTGAAATGCTTCCTGAAAGCGAAAACGTGACAAATGATCAGCCACAAAATTTAATTTCCCCGGGACATGACAATGCTTTGAATAAAGTGTTATGTTTGAGAGTTGCTAAAACCAAACGCCTTACAAGCTTCATCATAATTTTGTCTTTAGATGACATTTTGTTTATTACATTTACTGTTGCTTCATTATCTGAATGGAACATTATTTTATGATTCGCCATTTTGAAACCCCAATATTCTACCGCCAGTACTATTGGAAGTAACTCTAATATATTGATATGATAATTTTGACATGTGTCTGGATAAGCCTCCGCAAACCACTGGCTACCAAAAACTGCAGCAAAACCAGCTGTAGAAGCAGCATCAGTAAATAAATGCAAAATATGGGAATGTGACCAGCTGTCGTTTAAAAACATGCACTTTCCATTAAAGGACTGTAAAAATGAAGACCAAACTGCTAAATCAGCCTTGGCCTCATTTGTTAACCTAATTTTAAAGTGAGGGAACCTGATGCCTACAGTTAAATCATACAATCTACGTAGAAATGTCCTTCCCGGGACAATGCAAGAAGCTGCAAAGTTTAATAAACCTAATAAGGATTGTAATGACTTTAATGTTACTTTCTTTTTCTTCATGAAGACTGCTATTTTCGACAAAATGTTTTCCACTTTGTCTAATGGCAATCTTGTTATCATTGATACAGAATCTACCTCTATTCCATATATTGTTATTACTGATGAAGGCAAAGTAGTTTTCTCATGCTTTATGGGAATGCCAATATCATTGGCCATGTCTATGAATGCCTCAAGAGATGACTGACACAAATCAGAATCAATTGGACCAACAAATAAAAAATCGTCTATAATGTGACTCATGTTTGCTTTAAATCTATCTTCCATAACCCATTGTAATGCATTAGAAAATCGAGTAAATAACTGACAAGACATTGACAAACCCATTGTAAGGCATGCATCCTGATAATAATAATTTTTACCATCAGCTGCGGGCCAAGAAAACCCTAACAGCCGTCTATCATCAGGATGAATAGGCACTATTCTGTAAGCGTTTGCAATGTCTGTTTTTGCCATTAGACAAGATCGACCGCACAATTTAACCTTTTCTACCACAGTATCAATAGAATCGTAAACCACTTCAGAATGCTCCTTATTTATGTGAGAATTGACCGAGTCATTCCTAGGAAATGACAAATCATGAATAAGACGAAAGGATCCTGGCTCTTTCTTTGGGATTAGAGCAAGTGGTGAACAAATTAGACCTTGGGGTTTCTGGGAGAATGGCCCCTTAATTCGACCTTCTTTTAACTCTTCTAAAATCTTATTATTAACATAATCCCAATTTAATACTGCTGATGGATGATTTTTTGAAACTTTGTCTTTAATTTCCCCTGAAATTGGAATTTTGAAGCCATTTTTAAAACCATTTACTAGGAAATCTCTTTCTTCAGCATTGTAATTTTGCAGATAATTATAAAGCTGAACATTATTTACTGGAGTTGGACTTTTGGCCACGAAAGGAATGTTTCGAATTATGAGATGCTGCTACATTGCTTGAGAGGAAAGATGGAGAAGTCGCATTTGCATTGGATTGTTTTTGCAATTGAAAACATTTAAATTTTGGGTGTTTTTTCAAACAATGCTCACAGATATGCGCATATCTGCAGTTCCTATAGTTGCAACCTTGGGGCTTATTGAAATTGTTACATGTTTTTGGCCTCTGATGAGGAGTACTTTGTGCAGGATTCGAACCCAAGGCCATTGCCTTTATGTATAACTCTGAATGCACCCCGCCCAATTTAATTTCTCGTGTTGCTTATGCGCCCGAAACGTACGGTCATAAAAATTAAATGCGACGACTCCATATCCCCTCTCAAGTCCTCTTATCAAATTACAATACGCAATCAAATCAGATGTCAAATGCGGATATTTTGAGCTGTAAATGTCTAGATATATATGAAATGCAGAAATCCATGGACCAATTGATAGCTGTGTCTTGTTCTCCTTCTCTGGGGCAGACACTGAAACGTTCCCACCATTGAATTGGATCAAAAATCCACCATTTCCTGCATTTTTTGGATAGAGTAAATCAGAGAACTCAACAAATTCATCGTTCCAAATTGCCTGTTTTGTGCGCATATCAATAAATGCACTAGGCCTTACACTATATGAATGCATGGCATGTAGTGGTGGTATACCTTTGGGCAACTGCACAGGAGATCTTGCTTCGGCTGAAGTTGATGGATTCTCTCCACTTACATGTAGGACTGGTTCGTCTTGGTTTTGCAAACCCAAAACATTTCGGACAGAATTTTCAATCACACCCAAGTCTGCATTGTCCCTTGCTGGTTGTGCCACAGGAATGTCATTTTGTTTTTCAGTGACAATCATCCCCCTACTCGACAGTTCAGATACCACTGCGGACACAACTTCAGCCATTTGAGTTTTACTTAATGTATTGGAGCTGGCTGGCTGTTGTGAAGGTAACAAGTTATTGCTAGGTTCGGCCTGGAGATCAACCCCGATGTAGTTATTCGGTTCACCATCGTCAGCCATTGAAGACCCATTTGTCTTAGACTTTTTCCTGGGACTATTTGTAGCTGCTGTGCTCCGTCTTTTGCGTGGCATTGTTTACTGCAAAATAAGAAATAAGGAAAAACCATGAAAGGACTATTAATCAACCCATTTAGTTTAAACAACAAAAACCCACCAATTAATACAAATAATAACTTACAAGCCTTAGTTCATTATTCATTATAAATGACAAGTTAATAAGAAAACGAACTAGTTAGACTGCATGTCATCATACCATTAAATATCACCTAAGTACTATGTTACTAGTAATCTATAGCCATATACTAATAAAAATTAACATTGATATTATTTAAAAACAGAAAAAGTATCACTGTTAACTGGCTACCATGGAAAAAATATAACTTTATCCCGCCATAATGTTTTAACTACAGATTCATAACTAACAACCTGTGAAAAAACAGGCCAGACATTTAAACCAGGGCCCAAATTTTTTATTCCAAAAAAGTTAAAAAGGGTCTTGAGGGCTCAGGGCAAACTCCCCGTTAATTTGATATAGAAAGTTCATTTGCTACAAAGGGGAAAATTTCCCCTTTTTTCCCCCCATTTTTAAATAAAAAAGTTTATTGGGTACCAAAACACACCCCATAGTCCCAAACCCCTATAAATTTCCAATGTAATTTTGGGGTACCCCAAGGGGAAAAAACAAAAGTCCCACCCCAAATTTTATAAAACAAATGTTTTTAATTTGGGGTACCCCCAAAGGGTCAGACAAAATTTCCCGCCAATTTTTTGTAAAAAAAATTTTTTGGTACCAAGGAACCTTTCATAGTCCCGCCCAAAAATATAAAAACGCTATTTATTTTAAAGGAACATTTCACAGTCCCACCCAAAATTTATTTTACATAAAATTTTTTTGGCTATAAGGATCAGACATAAATCCTGCCAATTTGTAATTAAATGTTGTTCGGCTACCAAGGATAAGTCATTACCCCGCCATAATGAACACAAATAACTGAAAAGTACACCAAGATGAATATCCAAACTTAATAATTACAACAAAATAAGCCACCAATGGCATAATTTTAATCTAGAACAAAATAAGTCAAATAATACAAATGACACCTGACTGTACAACATAATACCACACTGAAATTGAATCAATAAATCAATTGGAAGCCCTTTTAATTACTTATGTGGTGTTTACCAGGCAACTAAATATCTAAATAACTGTAACACTAGAAATTTAAATACACCAGTGCACATAACTTACAAAACAATCTTACTAACAAGTGAACACATGACCTGCAAAAGAATTTTCATATCACATGTAACTTCTTGGAAATATTTTAATAATATAACCAGTTATTCTACCATGGCATAAATAAAAAAAAAAAAATATGAATTGTGTAAACAACTACTAGATTAAACGGTCTCCCTTTATCTAATTGACAATGTGCACAACAACTACAGCAACTGAAATGTTCAAAATCTATATTTTAACTCTAAGCCCAATTTGATACACGGATTATGCAATCCCGAATACTTCTAAGATATTTCGGATATCCTACCTCCTGGCCCAGATGAATTCCATCCCTACTGAAAATACAATGTTTTGAATGCCACAAACCCCTATGCTTCCAAAATGTTAATGGCAACTCTGATGAGGTGACAAGAGCTTGTACTAAGTTATTTACTTGAATAACATGTTCATTATACCCAGAGTAACGAAGAACATCTCTTGGAAGCAATTGCATAATAACTACCCTTTTAACCGGTAAGCCTATAACCAAACATTCAGCATATGAGACTAAATCTTGAGCAAATTTCTGTGGCAGATAATCATGATTACATATATCATTCGATCCTATGTCTAAAATTACCATATCCGACAACCGTAACTTAGAATCTACACAATGCAGACAGCGACATTGTTTCAGCGACAAACCTCCAAATCCAAAAAAAACCTCGAATTTCAAAGCACTTAAGCCCAAATTTTCATGAATGGGATTTTTTTCAATGTAATCTTTCAATCGCCTAACAAAACTGTGCCCAAACAAAACAACCTGCAACGCCATCCGCCTGAAACCCTCAAAAACAATAGTCTACAACAAAATAAATAGTTAAAAACAACTTATCTGTCTTTCTTACGTCTTTCCCGTCAAGTTAACGGCAAATCTCTCAACACAGCTTAATTCTAAGTAAATTTTAATTTAGCTTCAATGCTTTATCTGCATCAACTTCTCGCAGAAAGATGGCGAATGTTTATCAACAATTTATCATGCCGCTGTGATACGGTTAGAACAAAGAAATCATGCACTGATCACGCGCTGGTGTCGTAAGAATTACACAGCGTGAGAGTTACTAGCTAAATAGGGTTGCCGACCACTAAATACCCTCCTTCCACCTATGGTTGAATACACCTAAAAGATTAACAAGTCCAACTACTCAATCCAAACAACTTTATCTTCGATGAAAGTAACATATCGTTAAAGTTGTCAAATTTCATCAGTGACATCGACACATAGAAAAGTCAATTTGCCGCCAACTTCTATTACACAAACAAATGAAAAAGAAAAAAAAATCATATTTCCCAGACTGTTTCACAGCAGTAAAAATAGCAAAGCTAATGGTATGTTTACGTCGAAATGCCGTGTTGATACATTTTAATATGCTTACATTTTTTCTTTTTATATTGACAATAAACTATCAAATTTTTTTTTTGATGACTCGAAATGGCTAACAAGTGTTCAATAAGAAACTGTTTTTTTTTTAATATTCATTTATTTATCTTATTTGTTTTTATGCTCGGGTGAAGAGAAATTAACCTGAAAATAAACTCTCAAATGTGAACGAAGTTGTGTCGCGTTTAATAAATGTTGTTTTCTACTGCCAATGTGGTGTTAACCATATATCTATTGGACCTATAACAAACAACTTTTCTTTTTTTTAATTAGTTTTGGCAATACAGTAAGAGAAGGTACATAGATAATGGCATTAATACCTCATTTTAATAATTTGTGACATTAATACCGTTTTTATTAATTGCATTCTTAGTTATTTGCAATAAGGAAATTGAACTTTAAAATGATGTCGGTCTTATTGTGTTTATATCTGCAATCATGGTGTCTAATAGTCTATATTTTCTTACATTGACTATCCGCTTGACAAAGCCTACTAACTTATTCAAATTGGGGCATAATGACAAAACATTACCTGATTTTATGTTTATATCTGTACATGTTAATTGGAATACAAAATCGTTTTAGTCAGAATGAGGTTGCAATAACGTTATCATAAATTCAATCATCTTATAATCATGCACTACATAACCCAGCCTTTAATGTGTCGATTTTTGGTCAGAACGACAGTATTTTATCCGATTTTTTTTTGAAATCAAGGACAATATTTTATGTTTGAGAATGAATGACCCGCTATATTGAAGTCTCTTTTTCACTGAAGAGCAGTTACATACTTCAGTATTGTATCACCGGACAAGACGCTTGTAAACCATCGCTCAAGTGACTTTCATTTCACATGACTGAGTTTTACTGTAATCTTGTCACATTCAGTCATGCTATATTTAATTGTATCTCTTATCGTAATATTGGTAAAATCTTATCAGGGACATTGACAAAGGGAAACTATAATGTGCCGTAAACATATATTACAAAATTAATGAGAGAGAAACATTACATATTTTCAAGACATAAGTAGTAAAAGAGCAAAAATAACTAAGATAATGGTCTGATAACATCGCCGTGTCTCGCTGATCTTTTTTTCTTCTTAATAAATATACCCGTTGAAGGGATGATTTAAAAGTCATTAAAACATGTTGTCTTAAGGATATAACCTAAAATCGAGTTTAATTTCATTGACGATATATCGTTGATGAACATTTATAAGCTGTTTATTCAATATGATTATTGACATAGATTCTTTTATTTCCTCCAATTATGAAGAGCTGAACATACAATATATACAAAAATACGTCATGTACAATAATTTCTTAACACTGATAAATTAGGTTAACAACACGAGATATTATACAAAATAATACAATTACTATTACACTATTACAGGCATTTGTATATTGTTTTTTTTTAAGTTTTTAAGTTTATCCATAAAGAAAACCAGTCTTGTCCGAAAACGAAAAAGAGAAATGCATGCTAAATGAATAAACTTCAACATTGTCAATGCCATAAGCTATGTTATAAATATCGCGGACCAGTAAAATTAAATGCAGATAAATAAACAAACAACTATAAGGGAAAATGATTGTTTCTTATAAACTTCATGATGTTATGACACACATATATTATAAATATATTTCAAATAATTTTAAACACAATTTACGTGTGATTTGAAAAAAAATTGCTGCATTGTTTACGTGGTCAATAAAAGGACCGTGAGATCATTAAGTATATGATAGTGTTTTGTTATAAGTTAATATGCAACTGATTCACAATCGCCTAACACAGTGTACTTGAAAAAAAGTTATTTTGTAATATATATAGATATATAAGTGTAAACTTTGTAATATAACATGATCTAATATTCTCATTTTATATATAGTTGAACTAAAGATAAAGAAAGACAAACAATTGGTAAGCGCAACAACTTTGGGAAAACAAAACAATCAATTAAGCTTGATTTTATCAGATACCGAATCAATGCGAGAGTTATACTAAGAGAACGTTATCTTGCTTAGTATTGATTTCTTAGGTTAATACGATTTTATAAATAATTTTATATTCATTTGAGTGTAATGAATCAAGTTTGAACATAATTGTAATAGATGTGAGCATTGACAGTAAAAAAACTGGTTAGCTGAACATATTTTTATTTGTAACTGTCTATATTGATGATCAAAGATTTGTTTTAAGGTGACACATATGAAAAAAAAAACGAAGTAGAACATAACAAATATAAATAACATTGACTTATCTTTACGATACTAAAGTGCTGCTTCAACATCTGACTTATAGTCACTTCGCCATATATACACAAGACGGTACGTCCTTTTTTTTCTTTTTTTTTTTCTCTTTTTTTTTCTTTTTTATTTTCTTTTTCTTTTTTTTTAATGTTTTTTTTTATATTCAATAAAGATTCACTATTTTTTTTTTATAAATTTACATTGAATAGTAAAGAGTGAAAGAGAGGGTTCGACATATTTTTCGTTTTCATCATTTATTAATGTATGTGTATAATACGTGCAAACGGATAAACCAGTAATAGAAACATAGGGATATATTGTGTATCATATTGAACTGCGGAAACATCGTAACATTCAACACATTCTTCCCATAAACATTGTCTCCTTTACTCAGCTAGTTATAGTGTCATATTTGATCAGGACGGCATTACTTTATAGATGATTAGATATTAAAATAAGGAAAAGATGATACAGTATCAATAGAATTTTACTTTTGCCTATGAATGGCAGTGACATAATCGATAATTTCCTATATCACCGGTACTATCGCGTTTTATTCAATTTTAGAGTACCCTATATTTCGAATGACTGAGTTAGTGAAAATATTTGTATTACTTTCAAAGATTTTATCTGATATCCTATATATCTTAATCAACACTGGTGTAGTCTCTTTTATCAGTGACTAACATCAATCGGGGGATTTTTTTATGTGTCGAGAGCATCTTTAACCCACAGAAATGATACAAGGAGACATAATCATAAATTTAAAAAAAGATGTTCATATGGTAAAAAAATATGTATCGCATTTGAAATGTTTTGTGAGACACACGATATAGTTCATATCATTATCATCCTGTCTAATCCTATTTGATTACACTGAAACTTTAAATCAAATTGTTGAACGACGAATAAAATAACAGTTTTTTTTATTATTCTTATTATTATTTCATTGATATCATGTTTATTTTCAGTCAATTAGACGTTTTACATGTATTCGCCAATTAAAATTGACGCATATGCTGAAAAATGTTACTTTAGGCAATTCGACAATTAAGATATAATTTCCTTTCAAGCTATCTTGCTTTTACGAACATTTCTATCAACGGAAATAACATTAAGTATAGGTTAAACTTTATAAGTATGTACATACAAAATTAAATTGGTCATGCGCGCCGCGGCCGTGCAACCAAATTAATTATGTAAATATTGAATTGAAATACTGCAATCCTATTGGACAAAAGTATTTCAAACACTAAATTCATTTTATATCAGCCTCGAGGAAGATCTTTGCATTGCTACAAGAATATGTTGGCAACTTCATTGGCAATTAATGGCCAAATGTTAACACCGAATATAAAACTAATATCCCTTTTTATATCAAAGATTCGGGTAAGTGTAAGCATAAGGCAAAAGTTTAACAAAAAGTTGCAGAGACCGTCCGGTTTTAGGTTTGAAGACAGTTTAGATGATTTATTCAGCGAATAACGTTTATCTGTCAGTAGTATTGCTAAGTTTATTTTATTTTTAGGATTTACTCATACATTAAATCTCCATTTAAATACTGTTTGGGGAATAATGGTCTTTAATTATCATAAAGTATATACCAATGTCCAATAAATGCTCAATACAAAGGTATGTATATTTAAAATGTTACGTACTTATTTATAAATCTTATGAATTTGTATATGATAGGGATACAATCTCGATAGTGTGCATATAAATGTCCTCAAATGCAAGGGATATATAATTGAACCGCCAAGTAAATATACGCAGTATAATATTTACAATAAACTGTCTAATTAAAAAAAAATCAATTTCACAGTTAAAAAAGTTGAAAATAAATGCAATAATTTCAAAGAAGTTGTGTCGCATTCAAGAATTGTGTTAACTACCAACGTGATGTTAACCCTAAATTATTGAACATATAACAAACAACATTTTCTGACATATACCTTTGTTATTTAATTTGATCCTGGTAACACAGTAAGTACAAGTTTAATGACAGTGATAATATATGACTAATTGTACTCTTATTTAATAAAATAAGGGAACACAACTAAAAATGAGTTCGGTTATATTGTGCTTCACCTTTTCCCTTATATAAGCGTGTTTCGACGGCTTCTTGCCCCCCCCCCCATTTTTTGAGTTCTCAAACAGTGAAAAAATGCCGTATTTAGGCCCCAAACACTGTTTTTCGTTTGAGAAATGTTGTTAAAAAAGTGACCACTTTTTCGGCGCCGTCCCCCATCCAAATATTACATCAGGGGGTTGCCAGAAGGGGGATGTGCCAAGAAAAGTTTGGACATGTGACAGGCTAAAATGGCCTCAGATTGATCTTAGGGTAACAAGTAACCTATAAAAAAAAATAAAAAATAAGAAATGCAGAGTATCAGTTCTTATGCACTGCACTTTTTCTTAATGAGATCTATCATCCTATGAAGTTTCAAGTCCATAACTTTTATACTTTCGGAGAAATGGCTTGGACAAAAATTAAGTATGACAATTAACAAAGGGCCATAACTCAAAAATTAAGAAATGCAG